ACCCAAAGCTCAGTATATCGCGAGCTATTGACCGATATACTTAGAGCGCCGCAGCCAGGACGAATGCCGACAATACTGTCTGGATCCACCCAGCTGCGGGAGTGACAGCTGGCTCTGCCTATCTTTGTGCCACAAACGTTACCTTTTTAAAATGTTTGGTGGCATTTTAGGTACAAATACTGTAATGCTTGAACCTGTCATCACTTTTTGTATGGTCCTCAATAGGACAGAGAAATAATAACTCTGACGGGGGCTGAATCTAACCGTATCTCAAGCTATCCAAAACTGTGCCTGTGTAAGATCTGGGGGGCCAGCTGCCAGAACCAGGAAGAGACAGCTCCCCATGACATACAAAAGAAAGATGGCAATGTGAGATGGGACCTATAGTAGGAGAGTGGTGCAAGAGAAGAGGACGAAGCTGGATCTGTTGGGCTTTTAAGTATGTTTATGCAGCATAAAAGAATACCAAGGTAACGGGCACCAGGACTGTTATTTTGATTGAGAGGTAGATTGTAAATACAAGCCAGGGTTGCACTCTAATACTGACCAACTGATTTACTGCTGTCTTCACATATGTTAAGGGCTGTGAATGGAGAAAACCACAGGTCCTGTCTGCCACTGCCCATGTAGTCCACTGACACTTCCTCCTGTCCCTGTTACTGATTGTCTATACCTCAGTACGGACAGGGACTGCTGGAAGGCTCTGCAGGAGCCAGAGCATTGCACCTGCCATCCACTTGCAGCGCTTTACTGGCTCCAATAAAAGAAAAAAAAATTATCGAAATGCACATTTTTTTTTCTTTTATGAAGAGGTGTGCAATTATTTATATTGTTTTATTGAAAAAGTGGACTTTGCCTTATAGGAAACTGTAATGTGTTTTAAGCACAATCGTAAAGGAGAGCAGAGGCTTGGGAACATACGGCTCAGAAACAGGCGTTGAGTTTTGCTGTGTGATGCTAAGGTTTCCCACGTCTTATGTAGGTAGCAGCTGGATGTCTGTTTTAATGCCTAAACTGGCTGATCCCCCAAGACTGTATTATAGAAAATCTTTTTTTCTTTTCTTCCCTAAATATTGTTTTATTACCGTCTAATGGATTTTTTGTTTGTTTCCTTGCGAACCACTTCAGTATCGTCCCAAAATGTTATATGCTGTTAATCTGTCCTTTAGCAGAATGATCATATTTCCGATATCTGGAAATGTGAAACAAACCATCTTTCAGATTTGTAATTAAAAACTGTCTACAGGGGCATTTTATAATTTTGTCTATTATAAAAACAATCTAAATTTTAGGGGGTTTCCAGTGTTTCGTTTCTCAGGGCTCACGGGTGGAGGCTTAATTTCTCGAAAGCTTACATTTTGTGTAATTATTGACCAAAGTATAGAAATTACTAGTACAGTATCGGTGCCAATACCGAGTATTTGGACGAGTACTCGCTCAAATGCTCCTAAACTTACCTCCGTTATCGGAGGTTTCCTCTGCCTGGCAGTGTCTCGAGGGAACATGGAGCCGGGTTACTGAGCAATCAGGAAGCCATGTGACGTGTCATTACCCGCCACCCAGCTTCTTGATTGCCCGGGAAGCCGGCTCGATGCTTTTTGCCTGGGAAGGCGGCTTCCAGGCCATTCCGCATTGAACCGGCCAAGCCAGCTGGGTGGCGGGTAATGACATGCCACCTGGCTTTCTGATTGCCAGGGAAGCCGGCTCCATACCTGCGGAAGTACCGGTATTGGCAAATATGAAAGATAAATATTGGTACTCGTACTCAATACCGAAAATCTGGTATTGGTGCATCCCTAATAGAAATACATGTTCCTGGTTATAAATGATGGACATTTAGTCAGTCCCTTAAAGGAGAACTATGAGGTGAGTGATTTTTCACTCATCCTCTTAGAGCCGACGTTTGACAATGAAACTGTCACAGGTCGGCTCTATTGATCGGGAAGTGAGCAAACGCATAACGTCGCCCGCACACTTTCCGATCATCTCCCTGCAGAGATGACTGACAGTCACTGCTCCCCGAAGGGATCCCCCCCTTTCCGGTCCTCCAGCACTGACTGGAGGAACGGATGGGGTAGGGGGCGGGCACAGCTGGCTCTGCTCTTAGGCAGAGCCTGCTGTCAATAAGCCAGCTGGGTGGATCTCGACAGTATTGTCAGGATCCATCCCGGCTGCGGTGCTCTCAGTACTGAGCTTTGGGTCACAGGAAGAGGTTAGTATATGTCCTCCTGTGACCCTTAAGAGAACTATGGGATAAAAAGGTTACCCCATAGTTCTCTTAAGGAATAAAATATATATATAATTTTTTTTTTTTTCATTGGATCTCCAGCTGTTGTACTACATTGGAAGAGCTACATTGAGCTTCATAAGTGTGAATGGGGTTTATGGCTTGCCAGCCAGAGTTTGTACAAGCTAAGCCAGGGAGCCATCTGTTTTCTTTCTTGTATCTCAACAGGAAACAAGATCTCCAGCTGCTATCATTGCTGAACAGTCTAGTACAGGGGTAGGCAACTGCAGCTGTGGTACTATCAATCCCATCATATATCTGTCAGTCTTGCAAAGCGTAATAGGAGTAGTTCAACAGCTAGAGTGCTGATGTTTTGTCTAGCAGCAGAAACGTGTATAAACACCTGTCGGGTAGAAATTAGGGTTATTTTTTTAACTTGGATCCCATTTTACATATTTGCCATAGTTCCACATTTTGTTGAGTTGATTCAATTTTGACAGGTTTAATCTTTATAAATTGTAATATCACATCATGTTGAGTTTTCATTTTATTTAAAATTGCAAAAAAGTAAGAAGTATTTAAAACCAAAACAAAACTAACAAAATGTGTCATAATGGGGTCCCTACTGCCTGTTTGTATAGCCTCTGGTCACTACATTTCTTTCCCTTCAGAGCCATTCTTGAGCTCGTGTGTGCGACATGGAGTCCCTTGGTGGTGGGCATCAGGTGCCCTGGCATGGTTGGCTGTATTTCACCCTCAGCAGGCACTGTTGTGTTTGGGGAGTTATCTTGAGGTTCAAGTTTTTCAGGTGAAACCTGGTTGTTTAGTTTGCTGGTGGCAGGCTAGTGTTCTTGTAAAGTGGCAGGCCCTTCGCTAATCCTAAAGAGTAAATGTGTGTTAATGCTATGATGTCAACTTTCTAATGCCAGTTGATTATGGGTTGACCTGCATGGACTTCTTGTTTCTAACACTGTAAAAAAAACAAAAAACTTTCATCTTTTGAAGAACAAGACTCATGTAGGTTTTCAGTGGTCGCTGTGTGTGTACTTCTGCAATAGACCCTTATTTTCTGTGTGCTAATATTCTGTATGCGGTATGGAATATGTATTTCCACCGCCGCTCAGATCTAATTTGGCACATGCTGTGGTGAGGCTATCCAATTTCATCTGGCATTCTTAAAGGGTTTTCTTCAATAGATATGCAGAAATTATACATAATTATCTCTCATATGAAGAATACATTCTAGGCTTTATGTAATAACTGAGCCGGATGGTTCAGTAGAATCAATTCCTTAATTACCCTTTTACATTTGTGCTGCAAAGACTATGGGGACTACTTTGTGTTCATAGTCGACCAAGGCATGACTACGCTTTGGTCTTATTATTTTTGGAATATTTATTTCCTTGTTGAGTCAGTCCTGTGTACCTATGTATGAAGTTTTGCCCATGAAAGGTTCTATAAAAACTATACAGTGAGGCATGATGACAAACATACTGCAAATTAGGCTTAGGGTTCACATAAACTTTAACTTAGTGAAAGAGTTACTGTCTTTTGTAAAAAGGAAGCTGTCACGGTGATGTTCCACCTTATTGAATTATTCACTAGTGAATGGCCATCATTGTACTGTATGTGTATTTATTAGACTTGTGACTGTAATAAAATTCTGCTCTAAACGAAATCTTCAAAATGGTAATTTAAACGCATAATTATAGATTTTTTTTAATTTTTTTATATCACCCTTCTATTAACGTGGATAGATTGAGATCCTGTTTTTAACATTATATTTCTTTTACACTCAGCTGAAATGTGGTATATACTGTACAGTATGAGCTTTTAGGGGCAGTGCGGATGGGCTTTTGATTGTCAGAACTGCTTCTCTCCCTATACACGTCTATGGCAATGCAAAAGCCGCTTAAAGCGGGTCAAATGCATGTCAAAAGGAGGTCCACTTGCAGGTCAAATCACATGCAGGTCAAAGCACAAATCTCACAAAATTCTAAATGATCTCAGAAGACTCGCAAACTATTGTCAAAAGCAAGGTGCATTTGCCCATTAACACAATCCCTTAAATCAGAGATCTCACAGTACCAGTGATGGATGAGCTGGTGGAGGGGAAAGGGTCACAGATGAGCTGGTAGATGGGACGCGGTGACGGCCAGGCCCTAGGGTTGCCACATGTCCGGGAAGCTGACTTTGCTAGTCACAATGCAACTTTCCAGATTTTTCTGGCTTCTTCTTAGACTGGTCCCTGGGATGTCTCTCCCCCACCTCTGCAGCAGTCTAAGGCCCAGTAATCCATCATGTCTATACACTGTGCATAGATGTCAGGATGCTGAGGAACGTTCCAATGTGCTGTGGAGGATGGGACAGGCTGGAGGGGAGCACCGTGACGGCTGGCTCAGAGCTTTGGGTGAGTATATCTTTCTTATTTTAACACCTTGGCACAAACTAGCACTTAACCCTTGCAGTGTCTGGGTAGCCCCACTGCAAGGGTTAAAAAAAATCCTGGAGGTCTGCTTTAAGGCAGACTTAGCTCATCTAACTAAGCAAACACTGCCAAGCATCTGGCAAGAAGCAGTGACTGGCAGGAAGCACTAGTTAGTACTGTACATAGTTTGATTTTGAGTTTGAAATTTTCCATGCCGCCCCCATGGAAGAAGAAAACATGTCCAGTGGCCCCCAAGTCATTTGAGTTTGAGATCTCTGCCTTAAATTATGTAAAATGATAAATGCTGTCTTTCAAATTCCATAACTATATATTTTTTTATTTCAGGTCTTATTGTGGGCGTGATAATAAGATACGGCACACCTTCTACCAGCACCAATGACAAAACCATCAGCTGCTCTGAAGAACAAAGGGCTTATACCACGCTTCTAGTCAATGTCAGTGGGAAGTTCTTTGAATACACTTTAAGGGGTGAAATTAATCCTGAGAAGATCCATAATGTGGAGCAGAATGACATGCTAAGAAAGGTAAGTTTTTCTTAAAAAAACACCCTGCCTATCTAAAGATTACATATGAATGGCCATGTAGTAATATTAACATTTACTGTTATGACCAGTAATGAAGGTTAGCATTTGGTGGCTTTAAATGGAACCTGTATTGAGAGAATTTGAAGGCTGACATTTTTTAACATTCCCCTTCTTAAAAAAAGATTTTCCTGGCTATCATGCTATCCAATTATGTCATTAAGTAACTTGATTATACATGTGCAGATGAGAATTTCTGACTTTGCTCCTATTTCTCTAGCTACATTCTTGTTCTGGATCAATGACTCAAAGTTTTGAGACACGAGACAGCCAGGCAACTAGAGTTTCAACATAAAGGCCAACAATGGCAGCATTCATGTTTTTTCTCAGCACAGGATTCATTTTCTTAACTGAGCTTTTATTGGTTAAATGAGACCCAGCCTTGGAGAATGGGTTACTGTACCTGTAAGAAAACTCTTGAGTTCACTGCTGTTGTGCTGTAAAGGCAACAGAAGTTTCCATAGACAATAAACAGATATCCCATTGCACACCAGACCAGAATCCCACTGTAGTACGTAAAAGGGTGCTGGAATGGCGTGCGGTTGGCACTGCACAAATTCAAACGTAGAGAAGATAGTCACCCGTACACCAAGGTCCAAAACCTATAGTGGTCACTGTTATTTGCCTGATGAAGGGACCTCTGTAGGTTCCGAAACGTTGCTCATATTTCTGATCCCATGTGTATCTGCTGTCAGTAAAAGGACGTATTGGGCCTTGGTGTGTGGGTGACTATCACCTCTATGTTTCCATAGACAGAGTACATCTCCTCTGTCTGTGGTTAAAGTGTATGTTACCCCCAAAACATTACATACAGTATATGCATCTGTTTCTTTATTTTTCGTACTGTAAATGGTGTTTTTAGAGCGTCAATTTGTCAGATACCTGGTGCTTCTGCCATTTCCCCTACTACCCTTCGCCATCCATGCTGTTGTAAAACGAATAGACAAACAGCGCCGTCTCCTAGTTTATTAACGTTTATTGGATAGAGCAATAAAAACTACTCGCATAGAGGTATATTGGAATAAGCAATAGATTGCAAAGTAGGTCCCAGAGAAGACCGGCTAGCTGACGCATTTCGTGGGAGCCTCCCCCTTCCTCAGAGCTAGTATGGTAAAGGAAAGCACAGCAACGCGTCAGCTAGTTGGTTATATTGATTGCTATATCCAATAAATGTTAATACACTAGGAGAAGGTGCTGTTGTGTTGTGATGATACTTCCCAGTGCCCTTGAAGACGGCAGCCTTCTCTCTCAATGTTTTGAAGTTGAAACATTGGTGTACATCATTTCTTTATCCATGCTGGTGTGGTCAGTTTGTTTCTGTGCTTCTTTGGAGATACAGCTCATAGTGCCAACACACGGTGTGCTTATATCCCTCGTAGTCTCCCATTGTCATTTCATCATCCAGCCCCCCTCTGCCTAGCTCTCCTGAAATGATTAATGGCATCCCCCATAGGGTCCTCCTCTGCTACACTTATTCATGCCCTCTCCCCAGCCCTAATGTAGTGATTGGGAGCCACTGCTGCTAACACTTAAAAGTGTTTTCCACTTTTGCAGTCAAATTTAGGAAAACCCCTCCAAATGTTCATTACGTGTTTCTATTCACACAGCATACTGAAAAATAACTTTCAAAAAAAATTCTTACCTTTTTTTTTAATGTTTTGTTAAATCCGACAGAATGGCTGATTCCAGGTTTTTCTTAGCCCTTTCACGATGATCTGTCCCAATGAAAAGTGTGTTTAATCTTGATTAACATACAATGGACAAGCCACATCTCAATAGACAAGATCCCTCACAGCCCTGCCTAACATTTCAAAGAAATAAAGAAGGAAGAAATTTTAACCCTTAAAACCCTAACCCAATTAAAAGCAATTTAAACTGCAAGAAGCATAGCTTATGCTATGTGAATGAGAACATGTAACAAATATAAAAAAGGTAGTAACTAAATATGCTGCCAAGTACCCCTGGGGGTACTTGCACCCCAGGTTGGGAACCGCTAATGTGGAGGATGACAAATCAAACTATGGAGCCAGATAGGGGGCACGGAGTCCAGTGACGTCACGGACATCGACGTCACCGGACTCCTCCCCCCCTTCCCTTCGTTAGCCGTCACGGACATCGACGTCACAAACTCCTCCCCCCTTCCCTTCGTTAGCCGTCATGGACATCGACGTCACGGACTCCTCCCCCTTCCCTTCATTAGCCGACGGAGCCACTTCGGGAAGGGGGGAGGAGTCCGGTGACGTCGATGTCCGTGACGTCACCAGACCTCCGACGGGACTCCCGGAAGCCGGCTGAGAAGTGAGTATTTGCCTTAGCGATCAAAAGCAATTTAATCGGTCAAAAATGTTAACGATTAATCGAGGAATTAATCGTTAATTTCCGCAGCCCTAATATGTATGTATTTATTGTGTACATTGTTTGGTAAAAATATATAGCAAGTTTAAAATCATCAACATATATAGTCTTATTTACAAAACTGTGACATTGTATGCCTCTCATGAACCTGCACCTCCTCAACTGGTATACAAGAGAGATAGTTAACCAAGTAATTTCTATGCGATAGCATTAGTATGTAACAATGATAATTATAGATATTTTTCCATGGGGAGGTGCTCAACTCTTGATATAAATTAAAGTGGTCATGGTGGTGCATAAAAAGTCAGTTTTTACTGTTCTTTCATATCCAAATATAAAATAGGTATTGCCACCACCAGGGGAATATGGAGAGAAATACAATTTAAATTGATAAACGGGGCCTATTGTGCCTTCAACTTTCTGCCTAGGCCTGCAAACACGACCACACTAACTATATGCCCTAAATGCAATGCACCAAGACCTAAACAGAACCACCTTTTCTGGACCTGCTCAAAAATTACGCCCTTTTGGACCTCTACGATATCCTATATGCTTGATATAATTCTCCAAAACTGGATAACAAAAAACCCACCTTATTTATCTGACCTGAAACCTGTCCTTTTCAAACTCTGTTCCATGGATTTGCTAGACCTATCTTCCCAAACCACCGGCATGACATCTTTAGAATGGGATGACTTAATCTACAAGGATCTCTCTGTTAACCACAAATCAGACCTGAGCTCCTTTTTATTATGACCACTACAGGCCGCACACTGACACATTGAGGGGCTTGACTCCCCCAACATAACTGACTCAGACCTAATACACCTACCGACCTCTAAAGCACTCGAATGTGAGAACTGATATACTGCAGTCTTCCAATATGGTTATTCTGGTTAGAATTTTGTTTTTATTTCACTATGTTATACTCTAGCTACAAGACCCCTTCCTGGGTTCGAACCCTACCTGTGTTATGACTCTGACATGTACCTATGAGTATTATTTACCTTACTCATTGCATTGTTTCTCTTATGTGATACACATCCTGCACATAATGCCACAATTCATATCTGTATTGGAACTGCATTACCTATATCTATGCATGTTAATTCTTTCAATAAACGCAATTGCTAAAAAAAAATAAAAAAAAATAGGTGTTATCCCAATTTGGCTGCAAAAGTGGAAATACACTTTAAGCTGGGTATTACAGTTGTACAAAAAAATCTAGTCAAAACATTCAATAATGCTCTCAGGGAGTTGGCCATTATCTTTGGAAATGTCATTTTTTAGCTTTTACCATTTCATTTTGGAAATAAACGGAATTTGCCAAACGAAAACCATGTTCACAGTTAGAATTCACATGTTTGAGACATTTTCTAGCTTCCTCCTTTGATCTTTTTCGTCACTACGGTCGAAATCAGTCATCAGTTATTCGAAAATCAAACGAACAGTCCAAAACCAAATTTTTTTTAAATAAAATTTTTGTCTACCCAGCTTTACTCGCACCCCCTCCCAGCCCTGCAGTATTGTTAGGGAGCCACTGCTGCTAGCAAGTACACTTATTTGGATTACACCCATCATTTTTTAATGACCTTTAGTGTCTAATTTCCTTTTCTTCATACTATTGTTGGCAAAATAAGTACATTTGTAAAGCAAACTTGGGGGCTGAATAGCAGTTTTACCATTTACATTGTAAAGAAGGGAATGTGCCTGTGTGTTACTGGATATGGCCTGGCACTCTGTCTTCTTTGCCTCAATACATGATATACATACCTTAATACATAGTTTGTATGAGATGGGCAGCTCCGTAATCAATAAGACATATTAGTGCACCACATTGTCCAGGCTACTGAGACATTCTACAAAAATCAGGGAGTATGTGAGGGTACCTGGAGGTGCCTTTTTTTAATGATGTTAAAACTTCTATTAATCCCACAGGTCCATTTTAAACTGTTATGATTAGGAAATCAAAGCTTTTATAAAGATGGTTTTATAGAAGTATTATTTAACAATGAATGTAATTAGTTTTAACTAATGGGTAACTGGATTAAATATTTTTTTAATATGTGTCTATAATTAAGATGTAATATCTGAAATTTCCTCTGACATCAGCCAGCCCCATAGCTTATATGATTATCTGCAGACCTGAAACAGACAAACCATAATGCTTCAGCTTATTGATGCTCAAATGTATGAGTTACACTTTAGCTAACATTAATATTGGTCTAAATTTGGCACCATACTATATATTTGTAATTGGCTATTCTAATAAAAATGCAGCATTTGATATTTTTACGTATGTACTTGTATCATGATACTTTCTCTGTTTTATATAATGCCATTTATTATAAAAGCACAATTGGACATAAGCTTAATTCATGTTATAGATTCAGATTTATGTCCTGTTTTATTTTTCTTATAGCATGAGGTATGACTTGGTGACTGCTTGCCTCAGAATTTGTTACATGTACTTGTATGCCCTTTTATATATAGAACCTCTCTAGTATCAAGGACTGAAAAACTATCAAAGGCTGAATCATGCTACTTGACTCTAAGTGGGGTTATACTTTGTGACTAGATATCAGACTCTGTACTTTCTGCCTTAGAATGACACTAATTGCATTTATAGTCTCTATTGAGACAAATAACTTGCTTATGACAGTCATTTTCTACTTTGAGTTAATCTATTATTGTCAGAAACATTCTCGGGCTTCACTGCACTTTCTTAGACTTGCCTCAAAGGCCATCACTGAAATGTCCTGTTTTTGCCCATAAGGCTTTTCTGTGACCTGAAATAGACTTGCACTGAAGATCCTGAGTAGCCTGGATTGCAGTGGTTTGTACTTTTTATGAAGTCATATTGGGCAGCTAGTTTGCTGGTTAACCATTTTCTTTTAATGGAAACTTGAAATGAATACTCAATTAGCAGAGGCAAGGGGTAAAGTAAAATGGGTTGGTTCTGTAGTCTACAATTTTCTTGCAGTTTTTAACCTGCCATAGTAGCATGGTAAAAGCTGAGTGGTTGGTATCACAGAGCACATACAGTACTCTTTCAAACAATTCAACGATTCTACATTAGAAGTTCAGAAGGATGAAGAACCCCATAGTCCTAGTGGTTAAGAGATCAGCGGTTTTCAAGTACAGAAGGATGCGACTGTGTAGCCCCTATATAATATACATATATGTGCTATCTCAGCGATTCTTGTTCCTAACTGTAAGGAGTTAACTTGTCCCTGTGTGTAATCTGAAGCTGAGATTTGTGGGGATTGCAGTGCAGAGCTGACACTGGGGATTGCTAATAGAGCTCTTGTGAACTACCATTCCCAGGATGCTGTGCGAGAGGAAGGAGGAGGGCTATGTACTGCAGTGACTGAGCGTGCCCAGTCTGACTGGGGGATCTGGAGAAGACAGGCCTGTGTGCGGCACTGTGTGAATTAAGACTGCATGCAACAGAGCTGTGTGATTCCCACTGACAGGTTGGGACACACAGAATCTGTACAGCAGCACTCTGAAGGACTGATTTTCATCTGCTGAACCAGAGAGACTGTGTTCGAGCGCCCGAACTGAGGCCTAGTTGCACGGCTGAACCAGCCGCCGGAGTGATCCAGCCAGCCCAGCAGAGAGAGAGAGCGAGAGCCAGACGGAGCCACCTGAGATGACTGCAAACATCCTGGATGAGTGAAAACCTCCTACCAGTGACCCAGATGACTTCCCCTACTGAGCCTGAGCTGAAGAGAGAGGACGTCCAGCTTCTGCTATCAGTCTCCATCTTTTTTTCAACTGACCTGAGGATTGGTGAGAGGCCTTTGGCCTCATTGAGAACCTGTTTGCTGTTCATACCTGCACTACAGTAAGGGCCCCAACGCCGTCTAGCTTAGGACACCACTACTGGCCAGTAGTCTAGGAAGGGTTGGGCATTGCCAAAGGGAAACCTTAAAGGGACATACACCCCATTCAAGGGAGGACATTTAAAGATAATTGGCCTTGATTACATCAGTGCTGACAGCAGATAGCAGCAGCTACTGTGTTGCAGAGTGCCTTAGCCTGCTGCTTAATATCCTTTCGTGTGATTGTTGGGTATACTATTGCCATAGTTGCTTTCATATGTTGTGTTATGATTAAATCTGCTATAAAACTGTTCAAAGGTGTGTTGGTGTGCTGTGGATCCACATTTGGGCGGTACATTGGTGTAGGGGGATAGAAACACCCGGTTATTCAGCGGCTCCTTCGGGGGTGAGCGCTACAACTGTATGAAATATAATCAATATTTGGGTGATCCCGCTGCTGTAAAATAGGTATAATAGTTGACTAGTGGGAGCTAATTGGTCCATGGCATACATGTTAGAGATTTAAAATGAAAACATTAAAGTATACCAGCTGCAGGCAAGAAATACTCAGTCGTGCCGGTACAAATAAGACACATCGGTTTATTTATTATTATTATATCATCATTATTAATCATGGTTTATTATTGTCTATTAACTGGAGAAACCCTAAAGGTTAGGAGGCTGTTTGAGTAAGATAGCCTCAAATGTTCTCTAGACTAGAAATAAACTTTCTCTGCAATATCTGAAATGCCAACCTACTTCTCAATACTGATGTACCTGATGGGAATGCCAGCGGTAGTAGAGCTGGTATACTTGTATGGTTTCTTTTTCCAGAATAGCCAAAAAAAACCTGTGATTTGATTTAAACATTATGTAAGACACAGTAATCTGTGCACACTTGTGCATTCAATTGATATGTACTAATATGCTGTATGTTTTAAGATTTCACCCATTAAAGCTTGTATCATTTGTTGTAGGTGACCTTTGACCCAGAAGTCTTCTTCAACATTTTACTGCCACCGATCATTTTTCATGCAGGGTATAGTCTAAAAAAGGTAAGATCAACCCCCATCATTCTTTTGGTTTGGGAAAAACGGTTATAAAGTAAGGCAATGTATAATTTGGTGAAGTAAAATTAAAAAGTAAAAAAAAATAAACAGAAATGTGCTTTTTTTATGTGAATGTGATAATAAAATGTAATTCATTAAACATGTATGCTGATATTTCTGTTCACTATGTAGCCAGTGACATCCCTGCTGACCCTCTTGAGTATGTGCACTGCATGGATTCTTTTTTCATGTGCATTCACTTGAAATTATCCTGATGCAAAACAGTTTTTAGTGAAGTGTAAGGCTTCATCATTGAGGATTACAGTATACTCTGATTTTACAGAAATGAATCTTCTGACTAAATAGAAACTTAGTGATTTTAAAGTCAAAATGTTCTTAAGCTATTTCAAATACTGATGAAATCACTTAAAATAGATGCTGCTTCTTGATGTTTGCAAGTTTTAGTTTCTTGCAGAATCAGCTGGTCCCCTGGGTACTGGTCCTGATATCCTGATTTAGGGCGGCTCCGTTCCCTTGCAGGGTCCTATGGAGCCACCCTCGTGTGTTCTAGTAAGCTGTTTGTTTCTCCACAAACACACAGACACAGCAAGGCAAGCCACTCGCTACTCCCCTGTTCCCCTCTCCTCACTCCTCCCTCCTTCAAGCTAGTATTTGGATGGCTGCCGGAGACTGTGCTGTCCCTTGTGCTCTTGTACTGGACAGGGAAGTGGAGCCAAGTGAATTGGTGGCAGCTTTTTAGAAACATAATTGTAAGTGGCTGGGCGAGGCAAAAAGTTTAAAGAAATACTTTGCTGGGTAAGTATGTGCTTCTTTATTATTGGTCAGTTGCTTGTTAACACTTAATTGATCATTTTTGGGGGATGGAATTGGCGTTTACTTTTGTCTTGCTAAACTCCTGGCACATGAATGGACAGAGGTGTCCCCCAGAGGTGGCTCAGGGACCTCCGCCTCCAGCCAATTGCTGGCTTCCCTGCCATGCCTAAACCCCTCCCACTGACCAGCCACAGCTACAGGATGTGCAGGCATGGGCGACACTTTTTTTCCCCCCTTATATCTAAAAACTTTATTCATACTCGGCAGAACTAGTGAGAAGAGTCGGAAAGGTTTACTCTCCAGAGTAAACCTTTCCGGGATAAAATGTCTCTCTTGTGGGCGTTACAGAGCCACTATCTAATAGCGGGAGACTCCCGGGACATCTGGGAGAGTTGTGATGACAGCTGTATGCATTGAGCAACAAGGGGTGGGCCGGGAGTTGGATGCTATGGCACTTTGCTTATGACAATGCTCCCAGTATACTTTGGTAATGGCGCACACTTTATGCCTGCGAATACATTCTTCAGTGGGTGCTACATGCAGGATTAGTGGCTTCTGCTTCCTGTAGTGATGTCATGTGCAGTTAGTGTACCTCCCAAGTGTTTGAAGGGACAATTGGTCCCTCTTTTGGAACCAAATCTCTCTGTCCCTCTTTCTGTCCCTCTTTAACGTGGACCTTTACCCATATCGTTAAAATAACAACCACACCTTTAGAAATGTTTAATAATGACAATCTACAAACGCATACATCTAGATAATTTTCGTCTTTGCTTTGTATTCTTTGCATACCTTATTTCTCTTTTCCTTCCCAGTCTTCTTGCAGTGGCCATGTTAACTAGGGGCAGGTTACTAGCTCTCCCTTTACTACCTTGAACTCTGGCACATGTGACTAGGACATGTGACCATGCACATCATCTCAGGGGAGGAAAATGCCTTTACCTGAGATCTCATGAGATTACAGATGAGATTTCCCAGCAATGCTCTGCTAATGTAACCTTCCCAAGATGCAACGCTTTGGCACTTTGATCATTTGTGCCAGAACTGGACCAGGAAGTAGATGTCTATTTGTAAGTAAATGAAAAACACGTTTGTTTAGCTAATGAATGTAATATAATTTTAAATCCGCATGCAGAGCTGCATCCTGCTGCGATTTTTAGTAGAAGGGGGTAAAGGTCCGCTTTAAAGTAGAATTAAACTCTCCTTTGTTTTAGCAAATATATATTGCTATGCAAAAACATATAAACAAAATAAAAAAGTTACCAAAAAGGTAAAAACTTACCTGTGTCTCCGCTGCTTGCTCCCGTCCGAAGATCTGAAGCTTCTCGAGCGGCCATGCAGGTTTATGGGGCGGGCGCATGCGCAGTAGAGATCTTCGGTGGGGAGAAGAGAGACGCAGTGGAGCTGAATGCACGCAGCCGTGAGTGTGCGCGTCGGACAAACATCGTGGGACAGGAAGAGATGGCAGTCTGCGATGCATCAGTGACCTGCACCAGCGCTGGAGGCATTGCTGAATACAAGTGGAAGGAAAAAGATGATCGGCTCAAGGGGCATCATTTAAGGTAAGTCCTTAAAGCAGCATGGGGGGAGAGGGAGAATAAATTTGGGACTTTAATGTCATTTTAACTACAGAAAGTATGTAACTATTTTAAACCTTTCATCCAACCTCTAATTTGCTACATTTGTAATGATGTAAATCCAATATACAGGAAAAGTAGGCGTTGAAAAAAATCACTTGTGGTTTTAACAGATCATTTTTGGTGTATTTATTCTAAAGGATCTGCATAACTGGCGGCTAGACAGGGATGTGTCCATTTCCTATATAGTTTTGTTCTAAAAGGAGTCCCTCTTAAAGGTTTTAGAAAGTTGTAATTAGTGATGTCACAAGGATAGGAATAGATAAAAATATTAGATGTGAAGTATGTTGTAATGAAATGGGCCCCCAGACTTCAGAGGGCTAAGCTCGCCAGGCAGTTTGTCCACCTCACAGTATATTTGGTGCATTGATATGTTTATCCAGCCATGACAGTTGTGCATGTTTATGTCAAGGGTGTTCTAGAAGAGGATGCCCTATGGCTCATTATGGTGATGTAGACATGTGACCGCAAACTGCAATTGCCAAGTTCTATCAGTAGGGCACCACTATGTGGGCTTATCTGGGGAAGCCTTATGGGTGGCAACAGCTCTAGTATCATTTGATGCCTGCTGCATGCTATCTGGGGATGGGTAGGTGACAATTCACTTAGCACAAATCAAGCAGATGGAATGTCTGATCCCCATGACAGGAACTGCATTCAAGAGAAGTGTTTTTTAGCCCATGAAAGTATTTTTTTAACACACAAGGACAATTTTTTTAATTTTTTTTGGCTGTTATACACACCCTATTCTAGGTATGGCTGCAGATATACTAGGCTTCACAAAGACTGTTCTTGCTTCTGTTGCAGAACATTTAGCCACCAGATGTCACTATTTACACTCAGTAGTAATACAATGCGTGTATTCGTTAAAATAAAATTTTCTTATGTTTGCGTTTTCTTGTGTATTGCTTCAAAAAAACCACAAGGACTGTATGCTTTCTTTAGTTCAAACGTGAGAATATTTAAAACCGTGAGAAGTGTATATGTTCCTCTTCCTAAAGAGGAAATCCAGGTACAAATTAACTCAACCTTAAACACTGGCCTGTAGCAAAATAAATTGCGTATTCTACAGTGAAAATCTATTGAGAAACTTGTTCTCTACTGCTGTCCTCTGCAATTGCTTTTTTTTTTTTGCTATTGCACATTGGTTTCTGATCAGATATCTCCTTCAACTGCACTATTTTAAATGATAAAAATGAATTAAAGGAGAACTATGAGGCGAGTGATTTTCACTCATCCTCATAGTTGGAGCCGACGTGTGACAATGAAACTTTCACGTGTCGGCTCAATAGATCGGGAAGTGAGCAAACACATACCGTCGCTCACTCAATTCTCGATCATGTCCCTGTAGAGAGCCGTCGCTGTCAGTTACGGCTCCCTGCAGGGGTTTCCCCCCCCTCCCTGCTCTGATCCTCCAGCGCTGACTGGCGGAACGGACGTGGGAGGGGGCGGGCACAGCTGACTCTGCCTCTAGATGGGCAGAGCCAGCTGTCAATCACGCAGCTGGGTGGATCTTGACAGTAATGTCAGGATCCATCCTGGCTGCGGCGGTCTCAGTATACCGCGAGCAGTAGCCCGCTATATACTGATCTATGTCCTCCCATGACCCTTAGGAGATCTATGGGGAGAAGCACTGACCCCATAGTTCTCCTTTAACATTAAACTGAATGCCTATCCAATTTACAAAAAAACATTCTGTAACAACATAAATCCCAATTTGCATTAACAAGACTGGTCCTCTGGTGGTAAATTTATTCAGCTAGACCGGAAAATGTATTCTGTTTAACCTTCAAGGAACATTGTCTTTTCAGACCTGCTCTTGAAACCAGTCATTAGCATGAGCGACCAGTGTGTGCTTGTGACGTAGCACAGGAGGCCCACAGAGGGATCTGAGGAATCCCACCTTTCTCGTTCACATTGATCAGGTCCTGATGGAGAAATTCAGGTCCACCTATGCTGATTTGACAGCAGCAGTGGGCAGGTGCAATAGCTAGTCTGCTATTGGCTATTGTAAATTGAAATAGCCAATAGCAATCTAGCTATTCATTTCTATACTGTTGTTGTTTTGGGGGGTTTTTTTTCTCTGACTGACGGCGGCCGGTGGCCCCGATGTCGAGAAGAACAAAACAAAACCAGATAGCAGGGAAAGGTTTACTCTAGCAGAGTAAACCTTTACGGGAGAAAATGTTTCTCTCCTCGGTGTCCGGGAGCTGCTATCTAATAGAGGGAGACTCCCTGAACATCCGGGAGAGTTAAGATGTCTGCGTTCACTTCAGCAGCAAGTACTCGTAGACCCAAAGGACTCGAAAACCAGAGGTCTGCATGGATGTGCACCCTCACTCCAGAAATTAGGGGTCTGTTTGTACATTTGGATGGGTCCTCTGGTAGTTTGCCTCCCTGGCATTTGGATGCTATTACTAAACCTTTTGGTATACTGGCTAAACACCTGTGTCTGGAATCTCCTTCAGCTGCCACTCAGTTTTTTTTCTCTTGTGCTACTGCACAGGGCAGTGTAACTTTCTGCTGTAAACTTTCTAGTGTAAATTCCTAAGGATGCTTTGCTGGACCAGGGTGGTCCAGAGTAGGATGAGGGGGGTCAGGTCCTCGAGAAGACCAGCTGGTCTATATGCGAAGGTCCAAGCCTTACACTTCTACACTTATGTATCAGGGAAGGAAGATACCATGTTAAGGAAGTTGCCTGGCTAGACAACCAATCAAATAAATGAGATTTGCAAAGAATGTGAAAACTGTCACATCGTAATATCCCATAAGGACAGCTAAATGACCCCTAAGATTGGTAGAGGACTCTAGGAGATCAACCAAGAAGTCTGCAACCCCAGACTGCTACAAAGGGACACGAGAGAAAAAAACAGGATGGGCAAGGCCATCCACATTACAACTGGAAGGGTTACTGAGGTCTGATGGATGAATCTGCAGGACCTACCTAACTTTGAGCAAGTCTTAGTTCGGGTTGGCGTGCAGGTGCCTCCTGTGATTAAGGTGAACGTAGGGCTATATGCACCAGTTGTTCCTCCGGGGCACAGGTTTCTGTGCAGTCGTGCATGCAGTGTGAATGAGGGCTTAGCTTTATTTATAAACCAGTAACATCATGTCTGACTGATGTCACTTGCGCCTAGTGAATTGGTAGGTTGTTTACCTTTGTTAGAGTGTACCTGTTCAGTAAGGAATGATTTCACAGTTTGTGTACCTGATTGCACTCTATTAAATTGATGCAAACATGAAATAAACGGCTTTAACTTTGTTAATTTTCCTTTTTTACAGAGACACTTTTTTAGAAATATCGGTTCTATTCTGACCTATGCTTTCTTTGGTACTGCAGTCTCGTGCTTCATCATTGGGTGAGTCATAAAAGTGTGACAATACAGATGATATGCAGTGATACAGTGAAGGGCTGTGTTGTTTGAAACTAATATCTCTGCTTGTGTCCATCCAGATTGTGCACTGGCAGCGAGAACGCTATATTTATCTTTCTCCAGCTCTGCAGTTTTCTGACCCTGTAAAAGATTAGTGCAGCTATAAATAATATGGAAAAAAGGCAACGCTTTGTGCTTTTCAAAATGGGATATGGTGTACTATTCATCCTGTGACTTGCAGGCTGCAGTGTTACATGACACTTGTTATTAACTAAAACATAGAATGGAATAAGAAATGCTTATGATGCTTACTAGCAACCATACTTCAAGAATACACTGATAACAATTGTGGCAGAATAATAGTTTGATTTGAATTGCTTGTTATGATGCAACTCACACACAGTTCTTATTTCACTCAAACGTTGTGGCATTTTATTAGGCCTAATTGTGAAACACCCCTTTGGCATTCAAACCTTCACAAGGGTTCATTTCTGAAAGGAGGCACTTGTTCTTTCCTTGTGTCTTCATTCTTGATGACCGAAACTTTCACAGTAAAAAAGAAAGTCTCTTTTTATAGCACACAGGGAGGAGGACTAAAACGCACATGTTCTTTGAGTAGCTGGTCAGGCTCTTGACACAATTGTGGGTTTCCTCTCCCTGCAGGATTCGGTTAGGATTTTAATTTTGCTCCGTTCTGTGAATGAAAAGACTAGAAGTCTGTCACTACTTCAGAGAGATTTGTATTTCTCAACAATATACAAG